CTCCTCTCTTCTAATACAATTACATTACCAATTTTATAGTAATTGAACACTTTAAGGCGGTAAGACGCAGTGCGATTGAAAAAAGCAAACAGGGTGGAAGGGGGAGGGAAAACTAAGGGAAGAGAGGAAAATTCTATTAAAGTATATAGGTAAATCGATGATATTTTTCCCGGGAAAATCTTCATTTTTCAGTGTGGAAGGAGGAAAAAATTGAGGGAAAAGGAGGCGAAGGGAGAGGATAGGGAGGGGGGGGAGGACAAAGGAGGACGGGAATTCCACCAAAGTGTAAGACAAATGGTGGTGGTTTGTGTTCTAAAAAAATCTTCATTTTTCTTAGTATTTTACACCTATGTATTTGTCTTTATTTAGAAAATCGTTAAGCTGGCAATCCTTTCCTTCAGGAGACGGAACGAAAGTCTCGATCTCCACCAGTTAATCCGACCAGCAGGCTGACCATCAGATGTTGCTGCAATGGTCAAAGTAGCCGGATGAGCAGTGAACTGCATAACTGGTTAACTACCCGTGAAAGGCCGAACAAGTGTAGTGGGAGAAGAAATTGGTTTAAATGTGTAACTTTAAAATTTTAAATCTGTTTTTTCAGACATATCTGGAAAACTAGACTTGAAATCAATGCCAACCCAAATATTCCCAGCATAAATTTTAAGTCCATTTTTGCTCTGAATACTTTTTTGTCATTGAAATTGTAATTCCATTTGAAGAAGCATATCTTCCAGCGCTCCCACTCAAAACGGTCCTAGAAATCCTCGAACTGCGAAAAAAGCTCTTTTCAAAAAATTTCTAGCTACACGCTTAATGCAGTATTCAAAAACGTAAAGAAATTTACGCATCGCGCCCCCTCTTGCCCGTTCAAATATTAAAAATTACTGGAAATTAGAGGAAACTGTAACAGAACCAGCATTCGACTGATTTTGACAGCATGTCATTTTGTTTCAGAAATATGGGATCCCTTGCTTTTTTCTGTTTATTTCACACAAAAATTACAATTAACAGACAAAAAACACACACACATCTAACACAAACAATCGTCAAAACTCGTCTCATCCACATTTCTCGGATATATCCGAGAGCCAGAATTTCCCAGGTTTTGAGGAAAAGAAAATAAAGCGAAAATGAAAATTCGATAGATTTCTAATAAAATTTGCATTTGCCTTCTTAATTTTGCCGAAATTTTTTTCTGCATTCTTAAAATTAAGCTTTTCCTGCAATAATTTAGTAATTCTCGAGATTTTTTTTTGGTTTTTAGCTAAATCTGGCATTCTTTTGGGTTGATAGAGCAAGCTCTTGAAGCAATTTTCAGGCCATCTAGGCTCATTTTTGCATCCTTTTGCTGAATTCTGCTAAACACTGATCACT